TTTTTTTTTTTTTTTTTTTTTTTTTTTTTTTTTTCTTTTTAAACCTGCTTTTAAGGATATTACGATTTTCTTCCATTTTAGATAAGTGGATTCTCTAGGATTTATTTCCAGGTCTGGTGTGTGCTGTCCTTCAAAGTTGCTCTTGATCTTGACGGTAGTATGAATGTGATGGTGCTTCATGTTATACCGACCTGTCCTCCCCACCCCCACTCCCACCCTGTTTCTCCTTTACCCCCTTCTTCCTTCCGTCCCTCAATGGGATCTTGCTGTATAGTCTTTGTTGGCCTGGAGCTGGCTCTGTAGGCCAGACTGGCCTTGAACTCTTGGTTCTCCTGGCACAGTGAGTGCTGGGATTACACATAGGCACCACCACACCCAGCTAGGAGTAATTTCTTTTGGATTGTTCACTAGTAGTGTATGTTGATCCTATCCTGTTGATATCCTGCAGCCTTGTTGAATACATTTGCTGTAATAGTTTTTGTGGCTTCTGTCGGGTTTTCTACATATAAATCGTGTTATCTGTGATTAGAGATAATTATGCTGTTTCTTTTTCTTGCCCAATTGCTCTGTTTAGTACTTTCTGTACACAGTATTGAATAGTGGTGAATGTAGGTACTGTGTTGTTCTCTACCTTAGGAAGTCAATGTCTAGATTTCTAGCATTATTTATGATTTATGATCATTGTAAAGTCTATAATGTCCCGTTTTCATCCCTGATTTTAGTAATATGAGTCTTGGCATTTTTTTTATCTTGGACAGTCTGGCTATAGATTGTTAATTTTGTTGATGTTTCCAAAGAATGAACTTTTAGCCAGGCATGGTGGTGCATGCCTGTAATCCTAACACTCAAGAGACAGAGACAGGAAAATCTTCACAAGTTTGAAGCTAGCCTGCTCTATATATTGAGCTCCAGGCTAAGACTCTATCACAAGAACCTATGTGATGAAAAACAAACAAACAAAAAATATGAACTAAGGGTTTAATTGATTTTTCTCTCCACTGTTTTTCTGTCGTCTTTTATTTTATTATTTCTTTCCTTCTGCCTATTTTGGGTTTAGTCTCCCTTTTCCTGATCTCAAGATGAAAGGATGGATTACTGATTTGAGACTTTTCCTTTCAATCTAGGTGTTTGCAGCCACAGATTTTCCTTTGAGCAACACTGTTACTGTTGTCCCCTAAGTATTGGTGTGCTGTGTTTTATTTTCATTCACCTTAAAATATTTTCTACTTTTCCTGTGATTTGTTAAGCCCTCAGTTATTAAAAAAATTTTTTTTGAAGCGTAGTTTTGCAAGATCTAAAATTCTTCAGGCTGGAAATGTGACTTAGTGAGTAATATATTTGACTTGTATGTGCAAGGCCTCATCCATCCCCAGCCACTGCAAAAACGGAAAATGCTCTTGTTCAACATTATTTTTCTTTCAATGTTTGGAATATATTAGCTCATGGATGCCCTTTTTGCTTCTGGGATTTCTGGTAGAAATTCATCTGTCTTCCACGCAGAGGCTCCCTCGTATAGGACAGTTGTTTTTGTTGCTTTCAACATTGTTTCTCTTTGGCAGCTTTGTAACGTGCTTGGTTGTGGATTCCTTGAAGTTCTTCCAATGTGGCATTCATTGAATTTCTTGGATATGTAGATTTATCAAATTTGGGAAGTTTTCAGCCATTATTTCTTCAGATATTCTTTTCTTTTGGGACTCTAATGCATGTGTGGGGATACTTGATGGTGTCCTTGTATAATTTTTTCCTGTAAGTCTTTTAGGCTTTCCTCACTTTTCTTCATTATTTTCTCTTCCTGCTCCCTCCAGTAGCGATACCTGTACCAGAAATGTGGGGCTGCTGTCTTGTTTATTTGTGTATGGGTGAATTAGGCAGTGGGGGTGGGACTATGTAAGCTAAAACACCAAGAGTTCTGTATTTATTATTTATTTCAGCTTTTTGAAATGGGCTCATTCTGTAGCCCAGGCTAGCCTGACACTTACTATGTAACCCAGGCTAGCCCCAAACTTCATCTTTTGCCTCAGTCTCCTGAGTTGCTGGGATTATTGATATAAGTCATGATGGCTGGTTCAGTTTAGTTTCGTTACTGAGATTCAGCTAACTTTTCTTAATTAAGCATTCCCCTGCTTCCTAAAACTTTAATCTCCAGAATACTGAGAAAGTTGACTCCCAACAAATTTTGCCAGTTTGATTTTGAGTTCCTTACTTTGCTAATGTTGCCTTGTGTTCTTGACCCCACAGACTCTGACTCTGGATGTGATTCAGACTCGGAGCAGGAGAATGGTGCTTCTGGCAGTAATGCCTCTGGAAGTGAAAGTGACCAAGATGAAAGAGGTGATTCTGGACAGCCGAGCAATAAGGAGCTGTTTGGAGATGACAGCGAGGAGGAGGGAGCGTCTCACCACAGCGGCAGTGACAATCACTCTGAACGATCAGACAATAGGTCAGAGGCTTCAGAGCGCTCTGACCATGAGGATAATGACCCCTCCGATGTCGATCAGCACAGTGGGTCTGAAGCCCACAATGATGATGAGGATGAGGGTCACAGATCGGACGAGGGGAGCCATCACTCAGAAGCAGAAGGTTCTGAGAAAGCACAGTCAGATGATGAGAAGTGGGACCGAGAAGATAAAAGTGATCAGTCAGATGATGAAAAGATACAGAACTCTGAGGATGAGGAACGGGCGCAAGGCTCCGATGAAGATAAGCTGCAGAACTCTGAGGATGATGATGACGAGAAAATGCAGAATACAGATGATGAGGACAGGCCCCAGCTTTCTGATGATGACAGACCACAGCTGTCTGAGGAGGAAAAGGTGAATTCTGATGATGAGAGGCCCGTAGCATCTGATAATGATGACGAGAAGCAGAATTCTGATGATGAGGACCGGCCACAAGGATCTGATGAGGAGAAAATGCAAAACTCTGATGATGAAAGGCCACAAGCCTCAGATGACGATCAAAGGCAGTCAGACGATGAAGAGGAGCAGGACCAAAAGTCAGGTAACACACTTAGGAGGGCCAATGTGACTTAGAAGCCCCTGGCTGTAGCAGTGGCCCGTTCCCATCTTTGTTACCTTGTTTTGTTTTTTCCAAAGAAAAGGATCTTAAATTTCACCTTTTCTGTGTATATTGCTTATTCTAAAGTTTCCTGTTTGTTTTTAATATCTCTTCCCCTTCCATTTATTAACTGAATAGATCAGAGAGAAGCATTGAAGAAGATAGTCTTAGTGAGGATGTGTGGTGCTAGAGAACTGAATAATGAACTGACTTGGTTCCATTTCCCTGGGCATCTAAAGAGCACGCCTCAGCGACAGTAGATTTGCCTACAGGAAATGGCGGTGTCATCGAACTATCCCCAAGAGTAGTACAGAGATACAGGTACCATGTTTCAGCTTAGCGCTGTGTGTGTTGTCTATAGGTATGTGTGTGCAGAGGTCGGAGGACACAGGCTCAGGAACCATACAGCCTGATTTTTGTGGAACACCTCCCCCTTTTTTTTTTTTGTCTTTTTGAGACAGGGTCTCCCTGTAGTCCCAGCTGACCTGAACTCACTATGTAGACCAGACTGGCCTTGAACTCACAGAGATCCACCTGCCTCTGCCTCCCAAGTGCTGGGACTAAAGGCATGCGCCACCACGCCCAGCTTGAACCCCCTTTTATAAATGTCACTTAGACAACTCTGCTCAAATAAGACATTTTTCATAAAGAACAAAAAAAATTTTAGAGATCATGTTTCCTTGAATTATATAAAAGTTACCCCAATTTGGTTGAAGTCTTTCTGAAATGATGTTTAGGTTGCTTCATTTCTTTTTCTTTTTTAAAAAAATATTTATTATTTTTATTTTATGTGTACCCATTTATTGCCTGTATGTAAGTAAGTGTACCCATATCTTGCAATGAATGACCACGGAGGACAGGAGAGGCTGTCAGATCCCCTGGAACTGGAGTTACGGGCAGTTGTTGTTAGCTGCCTTGTGGGTGCTTGGATTTGAACCCTGGTCTTCTGCAAGAACAGTCAGTGTTCTTAACCGCTGAGCCATCTCTCCAGGCTCCAAGGTTGCTTCATTTCTGTAGGTGATTGGCCATATGAATTACATTTTGGTCCTACCTCAGAAACTTTAAGTATGGAGAAATCTTTGCCCCATAACACCTCACAGGGTGTCATTCAAAACCACACTTCGGCATTTTTGGGGGGAGAAGAGGGCTGAATGTGTACCGATACGAGTGTGAATCTGCATAGACTGTGGGGCTGCAGTAAGCATTTGGCAGCTCAGAGTAGAATTATTTGTGGTATCATTAGAATGTTTAAGGCTCTTTTAATACTGGGAAACTAATACAATATTGGGGTCACAGTAGAGAATCTGTTTTCTGTGTTTTTTTTTTTTTTAATTTCATTTTGAGATGGGGTCTCATATAGCCAAGACTGGTCTTGAACTTCTGATCCTTCTGCCTCCAGCTGCCAAGTGCTGGGATTACCAGGTATGTGCCAGCACACTCCATGGAGTTTTTAGGGAAATAATTATACCATCTAGAAATAGTCATTTGCTTCTTCCTTTCCCACATTTTCACCTTTCTTCTGGAATGGGTCTATATAATTTGATCATAAGTTTCAGTACTGTTTTTTTTCATTTCTATCAAGGATTTCCTGATTCTAGAAAGCAATGTTTTTTATTTTAATTTAATTGAGACAGGATATTATGTAGCACAGACTGACCTTGAACTCATGATCCTCTTGCCTCCATTTCTCAAGTGCTGAAATCACAGGTATACACTGCCATGTTCAGCTATTTTTAAAAATTAGTATGTGGCCTAGCACTAGGGAGGCAGAGGCAGAGGAATCTCTTTGAGTTCCAGGCTAACCTGGCCTACATAGCATGTTCAGGCCAACCAGGGCTACAAAGTGAAACCCTGTCTCAATATGGTAAATTTGATTTTGGTTATTGAATGTTGGAGCTAGATCTTTGTGTAGCCCTGGCTAGCCTGGAATTCACTGCTCAGACTGGCCTTGAATGTGCAACCATCCTACTGCCTTTGCTCCTGAATGTTGGGATTACAGGCATGTACCACCACACTTGTCACCTGTTTTTGTTTTTCCCCTTTATAATTTTTTTCTTTCTGTGGTTGAAATCAGGGCTTTGCTTATGCTAGGCATACACTCTATGACTGAGCTGTACCCTCAGCCTCTTTTTGTTTGTATGCACAGTTTAATTAGTATTGACACATTTATAGATTATGTAACCAGTACCTTCCCGACACAGAACAGTGTGTTAGGGTACACATTTTGCAGTCACATCTCTCCCTTGTGCCTAACCTGTCACCTTTTGATCTGTTCTTCACTATGTTTTGTCTTGGAGAATGTGATGTGATATAGAGTCATTTAGTGGGTATATACCCTTTTTAGATTTCTTCCTCTCCTCCCCCACTTCTTTTTTTTTAAAAGAGGGTCACTGTAGTCCAGGCTCACTCAGTGACCCTCCTGCCTCCGCCTCATTGTCTAGGATTACAGACTCACGTCTCTGTTCCAGGCCAGATTTTCTTCCTTCACTTGGTGTAATGCATTTTTGATTAATCCAAAATGTTCCATGAATCATTAGTCTATATATTGCTTTCTGTATTCCATTGTGTGTACCTACTACAGTTTATCTGTAAAGCAATGATTATTCAGACCTTTTAATGCACTTTTTAGAATCTGCAAGAGGCAGTGATAGTGAAGATGAAGTTTTACGAATGAAGCGCAAGAACACAATTGCGTCCGATTCTGAAGTGGATAGTGACGCCGAGGTGCCCAAAGGTGTGCCTTTCGTTTTTCTCCTACATACATCTGTTTCATATTTCTCTTTGCATTTAACTGTAGTGCACTCCCAACCCTAGGTGAGGTAAACCCAGACTGCAAGACCCACAGAAAACTGCACAGCTTAAACTGTTACAAACTTGCTTCTGTCTTAAATATTTTAATTATTTTTATTTTATGTGTATGAGTATATTGCCTGCATGTGTGTAAGTGCACCTGTGTCATGTAATGCCCGTGGAGTCAGAAAAGGGCACTGGAGTCCCCTGGAATTGGAGTTATGGATGATTGTTAGCTGCCCTGTGGGAGTTGGGAATTGAGCCTGAGTTCTCTGCAAGAGCAGTGGGTGCTCTTAACCACTGAACCATCTCGCCAACCCCCCAAACTTGCCTTTTCAGGTACAATTGGAGTGTATGTTTGGGGGACTGAGCCTCTGTTGGGTTAGGAAGTGACAGTGTACATTGTTCAGTTTGAATAAGGACAGTCCCAGGGTACCTTGGTCTCAGACTTTTTTTTTTTTTTTTTTGGTCTTTTTTGAGACAGGGTCTCCCTGTAACCCCAACTGTCTTGGAACTCACTGTGTAGACCAGCCCAGCCTTGAACTCAGAGACTTTTAACAGTCTATTATCAGGTGAAGGAACAGTCTGGCTGAGGGTTAGCTGAAGAGTTCATGAAAACACAGTGTTCAGTTTTTTGTAAAGGTAGAGATGCACATGTCCATCTCCCTGTAAACTATGTTTGTGAATGGCAGGTGACCACACAATGAAGGTGTTAGTGCAAAAGTTACAGCCAACCTGATTTGCCAGACTTGACTGTGAGCAGCTGTTGCCATGTGGAGTGGTAGTCAGGCATCACCCAAGAGGCTTACATAAGTTGTCAAGGAACATGATAAATGCATACATTTAGAGGGTCAACCGTAGAGAAAAGAAAAGTTGGACAAAATAGCAAGCTCTGGGATTTACTTAGATGTCTCACTAGTAGTTCTGTGAGTAGACTTTGGAATCAGATGATCCTTTATCTTCAGTTGGTCAAATTACTTCCTAAACTAGTTTTTTCTAATGTGTAAAGGGAGACGATGCAGACCACCTTACAAGGTTGTGGGAATTAGTATGGTATGTGCATTGTCTAATTTTGTTCATAAATGTTTCTTGAGGTTCTACTGTGTACTGGTGCTGTTCTGGATTCTGGGAATGTGACCATGATCAACATAAATGGTAGAACTTGCCATCTTGTGGCTTTAGGGTATAGAGACTGCTATCACAGGTAAACTAAATATACAGCAGTTGGATGGTGACAGGCTGAGGGATGTGTGTGAGAGTGAACAGAGTTATTTTGCTGATTTGCCATATGATGAACTTTCATCAGTGTCTTGGCCATCTTTGCTTTGCTTCCCAGTGATTTTGTTGTCTGCCCTGTCTCATAGGTTCATCCCAGACCATGTCTCTGTCAACAATTGTAACTTCAGTAATCTCAATTTTAAGCAGACTGCTTTTTAGCCACTCTTTTGTCTACCTACTGTAGCACCTCACCTTTTCTTTTCTCTTTCTTTCTTTCTTTCTTTCTTTCTTTCTTTCTTTCTTTCTTTCTTTCTTTCTTTCTTTCTTTCTTTCTTTCTTTTTTAACCGGTTTTATAGATTATTGTTTTGACATATACCTAGGTGATAATTCTACCTGTGAGGATGGGGGCCTGGGTAGACATACATATGTATTGAAACTTGAGGGACTTTTGTAGAGAAGGGACTTGCAGAGTTCATAACCCAACTTTGAATATCTAGCCTGGGATAAACAGCTGGTTCCTGGAGAATCAGGGAAAGTGAAGAAGGATGAAGAGGAGGAAGAGGAGCTTCCTGTACCGTGTTCGTGTCTCTCCACACACAAGTCATACAAGGTTTTAGGCAGTTTCCTGGGGCTAGCCCAGAAATGTTGGGGATTGTTAAAGCGAAGACCAGATGTTAACTCTGCATTTTTCCTTCTGCATTTGAAGCTAATACAGAAACCATGGATCTATTTGGAGGTGCCGATGATATATCTTCAGGGAGTGATGGAGAAGATAAGCCCCCTACTCCAGGACAGCCTGTGGTAAGTGGAAATTACAAGTGTGAACCAGGCCCTATGTTCAAGGTAAGACAGAGTTTCAGAGGTGAAGGCTCTCTCTTTCTCCAAGAAGTAGGTAACTAAATTGTAGTATGAAAATACAATGAATAAATGACTTTATTTTTGATTTATTTATTTTTATGTGTACGAGTTTTACCTCCATGTATGTGAGTACCTTGGTTTGTGCAATGCCCATGGAGGCCAGAAGAGGGTTTTGGATCCCCTGGCTACCATGTGGGTACTGGGAACTGAACCCAGGTCCTCTGTAAGAGCAGTGCTCTTAACTGCTGAGCCAATCTCTCCAGCTCCAGAATTCTTCTGCAGAGGCTTTTGATTGAGGAAGAGTAGAAATGATGACTGCTAACTTGAGGTGGTGCAGAGCCTCAAGTGATCATGTTGGCCTAGAGATCCTTTGACTTAGTTGTTTTTTTGATCTTTGCAAAAAAAATGCGTTGTGTTAATAATCTTTCCTTCTTTCCTTTTTTTTTAAAAAAATTTTACTTTTGGAGACAGGTTCTTGCTTGCTACATAGCTCAGGCTGGTCTCCAGCTCACCATGTGTTGATAGTCTTCCCTGACATGAATTATTACAGTGGCTGCACATTGGAGCCTTGATTAATTGCACACCTCTGTTGATGACTGGAGGGTAAATTGCTCACAGAGGTGATGTAGTGTATGGTGCGTGCGCGCTGGGCACCCTGGCATGGTGTGCGCGGGCACGCCTGGAGAGTCGCAGCACGGGTCCGCGGGCTTCTCCATGTCTCTGTGGGTCTCTGCTGCTGGAGCGTTGTCCAGCCGTGTACTGCCTTAATTTCCCCCGTGCGCTTTCCTCTTGATGCGAGATCCACTGGCCACTGGATCACGCAGGAGAGCGCAAGGCGGCTGAAGCTGGGATCTGTGAGCCGGTGACGGAGGAATGCTGCCTCCGGAGAGGCTGGATCGCCAGTAAGACACGGGACTCTGCTTAGTCCGTGTCACAGCTTTTATTAAGTGTAGCTTCAAGTGATCCAGCTCTCTATTATTGAGAGAAGACTGGGATATTTATACCATGGGGGTAGTGGTAAAAGCTTTGGCTGATAGATACTTTGTGAGACATTCTATTTGCATATGGAAGTGGGTTTCTGCCATGCTGCCAGACCGCTGACTACCTGAAAAATCACACAGGAAAGCATGGTATTCCTAGAGCCAGAGGCCATGTTTATGTTATGGCATTTGTGGCGGGCACTTCAAAAGGAGGGTCAGGCAAAATGCCAGGAAGGCACCCTGCTATGAAAGGAGTCTCAGCACATAACTCCGAGCTCATGAGCTATCCGGATATGAAGAGACTTCTACTTCACATAACAGAGGCCCCCAACAGTAGTGTACTGTTGCAGCCAGGCTTGTCTTCTCCTGAGGTATTTTGGAGATAGTTGAACAGTGATAAGGATTGGGACTGCATTGTCTCTAAAGTAACATCTAAATACAGTTCTTGTTGGGCATGGTGTCTTATACCTGTAACCCCAGCACTTGGAAGGCTGAGGCAGGAGGATTTCTGTAAGTTTGAGGCCAACTTGGTCTGTGTAGTAAGTTCCAAGCCATTCTGGCCAACAGAGTGAAACCCTGTCAGAAAACAAAACAACAAAATAAAAAACCAAAAAAATGATGCTTGCTCCTTTATGTAATTAAAACACAGAGTTTGAACTGGGCGGTTACTAGGCCAGCAAAGCTCTAAGTTCTGCTTTCTCTCCAGGATGAAAATGGCTTGCCTCAGGATCAGCAGGAGGAGGAACCAATACCCGAGACCAGGATAGAAGTAGAAATCCCCAAAGTAAACACTGATTTAGGAAATGACTTGTATTTTGTTAAATTGCCCAACTTCCTCAGTGTAGAGCCCAGGTAAGGAGACCAACTAAAATGTTTTCTGGATGTTAGATAGAAATATGTGGATCTAGCCGGGCATGGTGGCGCACGCCTTTAGCCCCATCACTCCGGAGGCAGAGGCAGGTGGATCTCTGTGAGTTCAAGGCCAGCCTGGTCTACATAGTGAGTTCCAGGACAGCTGGGGCTATAGGGAGACCCTGTCTCAAAAAGACCAAAAAAAAAAAATAAATAAATATGTGGATATATGTGAATATATTTTGCTTACTGTTATTGAATTGACTGATCGTGGAAATGGAAACTTCATTTTGTATTTTTTTAATTTTTAAAATTTATTTTAATTTTTTTATATGTATGAGTGTTTTGCCTACGTGTATATAAATGTACTGTGTGTGCATAATGCTCTCAGAGGCCAGAAGATGGCATCAGATCCCCTGGAACTGGAGTTAGAGACAGTTGTTTGTTGCCATGTAGGTGCTGGGACTCAAACCTGGGTCCTCTTCAAGAGCAGCCAGTGCTCTTAACTGTTGAGCCATCTCTCAACAGCTCCTCCCCACTGCCCCATTTGTATTTCTAAAAAATTAAACATCCTGAGTTAAAGTATGGGCCACTGTTTTTGTGAATGTTATTAGCAGTTTGTACTTTCTTAAGAATTGTCAGACACCAAGTCCTCAGACATTTACCAACTACTGCAGCTCTAACAGCAGTGCAGTGAGGAGTGGTGATATTTCTGGAGACATTGTGGTATCCATTGTAAGAACTGTTGTTGATCATAAAGCTAATGGTTTGGGACAATTAACAGTGCCTAGTGGGAATTACTTGCTAAGTCAATGCTGCAGCTCTTGGATAATTGACATGCTTTTCCTGCAGGAAAATGATGTGGAAAGCTATAGCATGTATAGCCTTTTCCTTGGAAGACTATAATAGGAACAAAGGATATTTTGAATTTATTTATTTACTTTATTTTATTTATTTATTTTAGGACAGGCTCTTACTGTATATCTGGGACTGGTCTAGAAGTCCCGCTTTTTTTTTTTAAATTTTATTTATTTTTTATTTTATGTGTATGCGTGTATTGCCTGCATGTAGGTAAGTGCACCCGTGTCATGAAATGCCCGTGGAGGTCAGAAGGGGTTCTTGGATCCCCTGGGACTGGAGTTACAGATAGTTGTTAGCTGCGATGTGGGTGCTGGGATTCAAACCTGGGTCTTCTGTAAGAACAACCAGTGTTCTTAACTACTGAACCATCTCTCCAGGCCTTAGAAGTCCTTCTTTTGACCAGGTTGACCTGGAACTCACAGTAATCCACCTGTCTCTGCCTCCCAAGTACTAGGATTAAAGTCATATGACACTATGACTATGTTGTTATTTTGAATGTTTAGCATTGCTTGAATTTTATTTCAACTAATATATAACAGCATCAACTTTTTAAAAATTTATTTATTTTTTATGTGTATTCATGTATTGCCTACATGTAGGTAAGTGCACCCGTGTCATGCAATGCCCGTGGAGGTCAGAAGGGACTCTCAGATCCCCTGGGACTGGAGTTATGGACAGTTTTTAGCTGCCATGTGGGTGCTGGGATTTGAACCCGGGTCTTCTGCAAGAACAACCACTGTTCTTAACTGCTGAGCCATCTATCCAGCCCCCAGCACCAATTTTTAAAAATTTATTGTCATTTGAATACTTCAAGTTGACCTTGAAAATATTTGACCATTTTTGCTTTTCTTTTTTAAGAGAGGGTCTCCGCCCTTTCCTGTGCCCTTTTAAGGTTGACACGGTACTTTAAGAGGCCAACACAGAAGGGTAAAGGAACTCTCCATAAAACCCAGAGAAGAGACTGTATACCTCCTCTTTGGATCCTGTCTGGAGTCACACTGCAAAAAACAAACAAAACAAAAAAACAACAACAACAAAAAAGAGAAGGTCTCACTAAGTAGCCCTGACTGGCCAGGAACTCACTATGACCTGGCCATAAACTCACAGAGAGCCATCTGCCTCTGCCTCCCGAGTGTTAGGATTAAAGGTGTGGTGTGCACCACCGTGCCTGGCAACCACTGTGAGTTTTAAAGTTAAGAGTTTTTATATGATTATGTGCGAGATCTGTAATTTTATCATGGTGATCTTTATAAAATAGGATTAATAGCTTACTTTTAAAACACTTTGTAGGCCTTTTGATCCTCAGTATTATGAAGATGAATTTGAAGACGAGGAGATGCTGGATGAAGAAGGGAGAACCAGGTTAAAGTTGAAGGTGCCAAGCATCCTTTACTCCTTTTTCCTTGTACAGAGTAAAACCCAGGCATGCTAACTTGAGACTCCATCAGTGAAAGTGATTTTATACTTTCTGTTCTATCAGCCCAATGAACTACCTACTTTTTCAGATTGAGCCCAGGGTCCCTTGGTAAACCAGGCTGGCCTATAGAGATCTCAGAGAGGCCTGTCCTTGCCTTCTGAGTGCTGGTATTAAAGGCGTACCTAGCAAGGAGCCGCTGCTTCACTCTCCGAGGCACTGCCTGGGGATCAAACTTAGGTCCTTGCCCATTCTACATTTTTTTTCCTGAGGCAGGGTTGCCTGGCCTCAGACTTCTGATCCTCCTGCCTCAACCTGAGTGCTGCAATTGTAGCTCAAGCCACCATGCCTGACTAGGGCTGGGTTTTTGCATCTCAGGTAGCACTGTTATCTTCAAATATGGTGGATGCACATGTGCCTAAGTAACCGTAGAGAAAGAGGGTTCCTGTCTAAAGGGCCTGGACTTCCAAAGGTTTTCAGTAATCACTTGTGGAAATGCAAATCAAATAAGAAAACAGATGAAACAAATGCCAATAGTTTGCTCACGATCATATAGTTGATAGGTTTAGACTGTTTTTGTTTTGCCCTGTGCTCTCTCCACCATCTCGGCACCTCTAGCTCATCTGTCAGTATGGTTTCCTTGGAACGTGTGTGTAGTAATTAGTGGTATTAATTTCTCGTGGCCAATTTGGTGCCTCTGACTACATTTTACTGCTTTTCGTTGTTGCCATGATTTATATAAATTGATGTGGTAGTTATTTATTTACTCTTTAGCAATTAATTATTTTGGCATTTTTCCTTTTTCTCATTTCTGTTATAGTGCAGAAACGAGTATGCATATGTCTGTTGTATAATCCAGTGTGGGCATCATAATGCAGACGGCAGCATTTTGCTCTAAAACCTCAGTGCTTCAGAGTACAAAATGTCAGTGTTTAATGTAGGCTGCTGTCCTTCAGAATCTTGGAGTATGGTTGAAAATAACCCTGGATCCTTTGTTTCTTGAGTGATGTTTAAGACCAGGCAAATGAATAGTCTTGGAGTTAGTTGGTGGTGTAGTTACTCCTTTAGTGAACAGCGAGCACTTGCAGCTATGTGCCTCTGTGAGGCCATGTCTTTAGAAGTACTTTCATGTGCTTCATTCCAGTGGGGTGAGGCCTTACAATTTTTCCTGTCATCAGTAGCATCATAGAACAGGAAGCATTTCCCTAAGCAGCTTCTCAGTTAATAATGCCTGTGTACAAGATTGTATATTTGTATGTCACTAACTTATTGTGTACAAGACAGAAGACAGGAAGAGTGACAGGTTGTTTCATTTGAATTCCTTAAAAATATTTTTATTACATTTATTTATTGTGTGTATATGGGTGCTTGTGTGCCATGGTGCACATCTAGAGGTCAAAGGACAACTTTCAAGAGCTGGTTCTTCCACCATGTGGGTTCCGGGAGTGAGCTCAGGTCATTGGGTTTAGTGGCAAGCACCTTCACCCACTGAGCCATCTTACTAGCTGTATTTTAATTCCAACACACATGAATATAGGAAGAATGGTATAATGAACTCATATGTGCTCATCAGCTTGAACAGTCTTGTTTCATCAATATTCCCTAGCCTACCTTCCCTAGACTTTAATGAAAAATATTTCTGGGGCTGGAGAAACGGCTCAGCAGTTAAGAGCACTGACTGCTCTTGCAGAGGACCTGGGTTCGATTCCCACCACCCGCATGGCGGCTACAAACCGTCCTTAACTCCAGTTCCAGAGGAATCCGACGCCCTCTTCTGACCTCCGCGGCATTGCACGACAGGAATGCATTCACATACATGCAGGCAGTACACTCATAAAATAAAAATAATAAAATACTTTTTAAAAAAAATTTCTATTTTATGTGTATGAGTGCTTTGCCTACATGAACGTAAATGCACCACATATGAGTGCAATGCACGTGAACCAGAAGAGGGCGTTGGATCCCCTGGAGCTTGAGTTACAGATTGTTTGTTAGCCACCATGTAGGTTCTGAGGATTGACCCAGGTTCTCTGCAGGAGCAGACAGTGCTCTTAACTGGCCTAGACTATTTTGACATAAATCTCAGAAATGATATCATACTTAATTTGTACATATTACTGAGTTTATTTAGCTGATTTATTGCTTATTTAGTGAGGAAGAAGTAAAGGAGAAAAACTGGAAGCAAATCATTAGGTTCTGTTTACAAAGACTTTGGCACCTGGCCGTGGAGCTACAGAAGGGGTGTGGGAGTGGGGCCACAGCTGGTTTCTAGGGTAGAGGGTGGAGGAATAGGGACGCATGCACTTAGACCCGTCAGTGACTTTTCAGAATGTTAAAATATTCACTTCTCTTTGCGTTCTCTTCATTTTCATTCTGATTCTTTGTTGTTGGGTTTTCTTCTTTGAGACAGGGTCTTGATATATAGCCTAGGTTGGCCTCAAACTGGCAGTCCTGCCTCAGCCTCCCAAGTGGTGGGATTACAGACATACATCACTATATCTGGCTCATTCTCATTCTTCTAATCCTTGTGAATGTTCTATTTATTTATTTTTTTTCTTTTGCTGTTATTTTAGTGGATGTCCAGGATGTAGCAGTGATGAACTGTATGCATTTAATGTGCCTTGTTTTCCTGGAAGTCCCACAAAGTTTTAAATTTCATTAGTGGTGGCTCTCATTTTGTGTGTGTGTGTGTGTGTGTGTGTGTGTGTGTGTGTTGTGTCTTTTTGAGACAGGGTCTCCCTATAGCCCCAGCTGGCCTGGAACTCACTTTGTAGACCAGGGTGGCCTCGAATTCACAGAGATCCACCTGCCTCTGCCTCCTGAGTGCTAGGATTACAGGCGTGTGCCGCCATGCCCAGCTCTCATTTTTAAAATCTGTCTTGACATTTTTCCATCATTCTGGTGATAAAAGGTTAGATTCTAAACGTGTTCAAATCTGGGGTTCCGATTTTCAGAGAATCTCCATATGTGGTAGTGTCCCTGGCTCACTGGGTCATAGAGTATTCTCGTGTTGCTTTTACTGGCTTTTAAAAAGCTCACTCTACCTAAGGGTCTTTGTGCTCTTCACAGGTTCAAGCCCTGCTCCTGTGGCTCGGAGCTCTTCATGTATTTTAAAATTTCCCAGGCAAATGCAGATTAGTATCTGCCATAGTGCTCTGACTGCAAGCTGTGCTTGTGGCACTGGAATCTCGGAAGTTCCTTTAAGCGTTTTTTTTCCCTGTTATTAATGTATCCCAAGAGGATTTCATCATTGTCTGTTTTTCTGTCACTTACCTGTGTGTGCGTGTTCTATGATTGTGTATCTCTTGTGTGGTGGGAGGAAGCCCATAAACTACAGTTTTCTAAGGTTTTGTATTTTAAAACAGGTAGAAAATACTATAAGATGGAGGATACGCCGAGATGAAGAAGGAAATGAAATTAAAGAAAGCAATGCTCGGATAGTCAAGTGGTCAGATGGCAGGTGAGTGCCGTATACTGGTGTAGGTGTGGCACCCAGAGAGGTGAGAAAGTTTCGGGCAGGGGTCTTACTGGGGTCCGTCTCTTCTTGGAGAATTTCTGTTAGTTGCTCCCTGTGGCTGCATAGAAGACCTGAGAGAAAGGGTAGTTGGAGGTTGTACAGACTGGTGGGAGACACTGTGTGCCGAAGTTGTGGCCATCCACTTTGCAGACAGAATATTACTTAGAAAAATTATACCACTTCCTCAGTCCCACTGTATACTACTCGCAGTGTGAGGAAAAGTGTCTTTCACTGACAGCGTAGTAGGGGCTGGGCATACATCACAACAGGTGTTATTTCCCTGAAGCCAGGTTTTTTTCAACATGGTGCCTTCTTCTGAATTCTGTAAAGAGAGAAAGCAGTGGTTAAACCACATTTTTCGGTAAAGTAAAACAGTAGTATGAAGGCCTTTTGACTTCAATGTATTTTTTCTCTTCAGCATGTCCCTACATTTAGGAAATGAAGTGTTCGATGTGTACAAAGCCCCTCTGCAGGGTGACCACAATCATCTTTTTATAAGACAAGGTACTGGTCTCCAGGGACAAGCCGTCTTTAAAACAAAGCTTACCTTCAGGTAACTGTTCTTATCAATGTGTTGTTTCTATAATGTCTGGCTCCTGGTTGAGGGAGCTCCACAGTATAGTCCAAGAACTATTTCTCTATTCTGAAGGATTAAAGATGACTTTGTCAGGTACACCAAAAGTTGCTTTCTCGGGAGCCAGGTCGTTCTGACCAGTCTATTGTGTAAAATAGAATGTCTGTGTATTAATTTCAGGGATGACTGTTCTGTCAAGAGGCCTGACATTCTTGTCTGTGCTGGTCAGCGCATCCTTTGTGTCAGTAGAATTGATCTGGGAGACTAATTGATAATTAGGGCTGTTGAATGCATGCAATTAGAGTAAAGGCAATGCATATGTTGGGGGATGCAAGGATGCAGGTTGTCCATTGCCTTCTGCTGTTGCCCCAGCCCTCTGTAGGGATGTATCCCCCAAGTAGACTCACACCCTGGGTAGCTGTTGAAGGCTCTGCCCTTCTCTAGGCCTCTTTTCCTGATGATAAGTAGACCACCCTTCTTGGGAAATGCTTACCTGCAGGGAGGCATTTGCTTTTTGTGAATTATAATGGTTAAAGTATAGACTTTGTTATTGGCCTGTATTTGGCTTTATTTCTATTTGTGTGATCTTGTGCACCTTTCATTTTGTAATAATTATCTCATAAAGTATTTGTGACAAGTCAAATATTGTGTGACGTTCAAAGCACAGTGTCTGGCACACAGTGTCTGGCCCAGTGTGCATTTATACTGCTTGAGCCTCTAGGGGGTGGGCACAATATGCAAACCTGCTGTTACCCCAGCCTGTCCACTTACTGCCTCTAGAGGTGGTCATGCTATGCAGAGTCATCCTCATCCCAGCCTTTTCTTCTTTGATTTCCTGTCTCAATGAACTAGAGAACAAGAAAAGCCATTCCCCCCTAAAGTATTCAATTTCGTGGCCTTGCCTATTTGGTGAGTAGGCAGTGGCTGTCATCTTCATGTTTTGTGATGTGTGACTGACTCACAAATACATTCGGTAAATCGTGAGAAATTCCTGTTTGTTTCTTGGCAGACCTCACTCTACAGACAGTGCCACACATAGAAAGATGACTCTGTCACTTGCAGACAGATGTTCAAAGACACAGAAGATTAGAATCTTACCAATGGCTGGTCGTGATCCTGAGTGCCAGCGCACAGAAATGATTAAGGTATGTTGGCTAAGCTTTATCCTGGAAGCGTTTTGTGTATCAAGAACAGATTGCCCAGGCTGGAGAGATGGCTCAGCAGTTAAGAACACTGACTGTTGGCTAGAGAGATGGCTCAGCGATTAAGAACACTTGACTGTTCTTGCTGAAGACCCAGATTTGATTCCCAGCACCCACATGGCAGCTAACAATTGTCTGTAACTCCAGTTCAGGGGATCCAACAGCCTCTTCTGTTCTCCATGGGCATTGCATGGCATGGGTGTACTTACCTACATGCAGGCACTATACTCATATACATAAAATAATAAATAAAAAACCAGGCGTGGTGGCGCACACCTGTAGTCACACCACTTGGGAGGCAGAAGCAGGCGGATCTCTGAGTTCAAGGCCAGCCTGGTCTACATAGTGAGTTCCAGGACAGCTGGGGCTATAGGGAGACCCTGCTTCAAAAAGACAAAATAATTAATTAATTAATTAATTTAAAAATATATATAATAATAATAAAAAAAGAACAGATTGCCCAAAGGGTCTGTTCATCATCTCTTGTCGGACTTCCTTTCCTTCTTCCAGCTGACATGAACAGGAAACTGGATTAATTTCCTAAAGCAAAGAGATGTGAGGATGGTGATAAAACCTACAAGCTCTTGGGTTCTCCCCAACCAGATCCTGAAAGCTCTACAAAACTGGTCACTAAAATAACTGAACATGTAATATCAAACATCATTAAATCATGTACATCTAGTCTAGAATTCCTGTCAATAATCAGTGGGAATGTTAAAGACTGGAGCAGCAGTGTGAATGGAAGAGTGCCTTAAGTTGAATCTAGCAGAGCTTTGTGAATTTGGTTTGTGGTGTTGAGGATTAAACTCAATCATGTTAGGTAGGTGTGCTACCAGAGAGCTGCATCTTCTATGTGGGTGGGAGTTTATTTAACTTATTGTGTGTGTAGATGTCTGTGTGGGTGTGCATGCCATGACACCCATGTTCAAAGGACAACTTTGCGGAGTCAGTTCCCTCCTGTTTTTATATGGGTTCTGACAACTCAGGACGTGAGGCCTGCACGGCAAGTGCTTTACCCACTGAGCCATCTCGCCAGTCCTGAGTTTGTGGGGTTTTTTGGGTTTTTTTGTTTTTGTTTTGTTTTGTTTTTTAAGTCAATTTTGCAACATTCTATTGGTAGATTTTCGTAATTAAGCACAGACTTAGCTTGGAGACATTGCCTCTGAGTGATGGAGTATGGTCCTGCATTGACAGTGCTGGTCTCTGGTGCCGCACTTGCTTTGAGAAGCTGAGTGCAGTGGTACAGCCTCATCTTTCCTCTCTGTCTAATCCTTGCTGCATCTCAGCTGTTGCCTAGTCTGCCTCATGTGACTAGCTGTGTTCCTTGAGCAAGGAGGAGCGAGGCTGACAGTCCATTTATTGATCTTGATGTTGGTCTCTAATGGGAATGTGAGCCCCTGCCTTTTCTTCTCTTCTCTAATTTGTTCATGAGAACAAGTTAACTAAACCAGATCTAGGAGCCTAGTCTAGTCATACAGAAGGGCCTCACTATTTCTGTTCCCCGCCTTTTCTGTACAGGCTAGTGGAGCTGGAGGAACCCACAGATTCCAGACTCAGTGTTGATGTACTAGCCCTGGGAACCACCCTGAGGATTCCCCCAAGCCTTCTTTTACCTGTCTAGTCTGTGGAAGTATAGACAAGGAGCCAGCTAGTTGGCTCTTGGTCCTGACCCTTAATAGTGAGTCTACTGTAACTTCAGTGTAGCCACATACTCCATCATGAACACCTACCTGCGTAGAGTTTCTAGCATATCCCTGTCCGCAGCCTCTGTTTCCTTTATGAACCCCAGGTTGTGAAGTGCCAGGCAGCTTTAAGGAAATAAAGGCTCTGCCTTGTGGTCTAGAGATTCCCCCTAATGGGACTTCCCCAACTTGTTGACAGGAGCTAAGATATACTGAGTTGAGGGCCACAGTAGGAATGTTTGGGGAGCTTAAGAGTCCCATGGGACCTCAGCAGGTCAGGTGTCTGCAGCTCAGGGATGAGCACAGCTAGCTTCTACTGCCCCAGGGGGTCATTTCAGAAGGGCTTTCTCCAGCTGGTCTCATCTGATCTCTGAGTGGCAGCCCAGAGGACTTACTCAGTCCTAGGGTCATGCCTGTGCAGTTCTGATCAAGGTGGTGTGATGGGTCCTTCCTACCTTTTCATCTGTGTGTTGCTGGTAGAGGCATAAGGGAAGAAGCCTATTCTCAAAAGACAAGAGATAGATGGTATCCCAGATGTTCTGTATAGTAAAAGTGGGTTCAAGTATGCACAAAAGAAGATCTGTATTTTCTTTTTCTCGAAAGGAGTCTGATTTTTAAAGTTCTATTTTCTATTACTATAACTGAATTCCAAACATTGGGTAATTAAATAAAGAAGAGAAATTTAGCTGAACATGGTGGCACACACTTATCATCCCAGTATTCAGGAGACTGAGGGCCTTCTTGGTGCATCCAAGCATGGTGGAGAAAGTCCATGGCAATGCAGAGCAAGGAGAGTAAGCTCACTTCTGTAATGGAGCCACTCCCAGGACAATCCATCAGTCCATCAATACATCATTTACTCCATGATTAACTAACCCTCTGTGGAGGACATGGCCTTTCTGACAGCCACCCCTAGAGTCTTACCTCATGTTAACATATGGCTTTGGGGTTAAGTTTCCAACACGTGAAACTTGTGTCACTTTCAAATCATAGAAAATGATCTCTTTGCTCTCTTGCAGAAGGAAGAAGAGCGTTTGAGGGCCTCCATTCGGAGGGAGTCGCAGCAGCGCCGGATGAGGGAGAAACAGCACCAGCGCGGGCTGAGTGCCAGCTATCTGGAGCCCGACCGGTATGATGAGGAAGAGGAAGGCGAGGAGTCTATCAGCCTGGCAGCCATTAAAAACCGATACAAAGGGGGCATTCGGGGTGAGTGTGGTGTGTATGTTTGCCTTGCCATCATCTGACTGCCTGCCACTGGCCATTTTATCTTCAAAGAGCCTGTATTAATGACTGGCCCATGCCAAGGCTGAGTGATCAAGTCATTACATCGTTCTTTCAGTCCATCCTGGAACGATGGGTACTACTGTGGCTCCCCTTTAGGTGTTTCTGGTTTTGGAGGTTGCCCTTGAATTGCTGATCCTTTTGTCTCCTGTGTGCTCAGATTACAGGTGTGTGCACCTGGCTCCTTTCAATTTATCCTTTGGCATTCTTTCAGTCTGGAAGTTTGCCACATTATTATTATCATTATTAATTATTATTATTGATTTATTTTTTGGTCTTTTTGAGACAGGGCCTCACTGTAGCCCCTGCTGGCCTGGAACTCAGTATGTTGACCAGGCTGGTCTTGAACTCACAGAGATCCATCTGCCTCTGCCTCCCAAGTGCTGGGATTAAAGGCCTGCACCACCACACCTGACTAATTTTTATCATTATTTCAATTTTTAACTTTTTTTTCTTTTAGACAGGGTTTTATTCTAGGCCAGGCTGGCCTCAAACTTTCAACAATCCTCCTGCCTCAGCTTCTCAAATGCTGGGATTATAGGCATAAACCATCACACCCAGCTCAGTAGCCATTTATTAGAGTGGTTTTCAACTTGTTTTTCATTACTGATTGATAATCAAGAAGGTAAATTGTTCAGGGAACACGTGGTATTTGCCTTCATCCTCTGCTTTGCTTTTCTTAGGTTGTGCTTTGCAGATTCCTTCCTCTCAGTGTTAATAACCCGTGTTTAACATTTACTCAGCACATGCTGAATCCTAGGCAAACATTTGCCATCCTGTGTGATCTCCAAACAGTACTCTGACATATTTGCTCTTACTCAGGAAACAGGCTTTGTAGGTAGAGTAACTTCTCATCACACACAGATGGTTGTTTCTTTAACCAACTTTGGTCATCCGACCTTCAAGATAATATTTCAGATACCAAAAAAAATATTTTTCATTGTAAGTGTGAATTACTTCTATAATTAAAGCAACAACAACCCAGCTGAGACTAGGAAAAATGGGAGAGAGAGAATATACCTCAGAGATGCAGCAGTTGCCTAGAATGTGCCTAGGTGAGAACCTAAGGTTCCCCTATACCCTGTGGCCAGATACATGCAGAAAAGCAAACTCAGAAGAGAGCGTAGATTCCTGGATTTCTGAAATTCCTCTGCCTCAGCCTCCTGAGTGCTGGAATTACAGGCATGTATCCAGCAAGCTCTGCCACTTTTTTTTTCCTTCAAATTTTATTTATTTTTATTTTATATGTATGAGTATTTTGCCTATGTGTAAACAGTACACCCATGTTGTGCAATGCCTGTAGAGGTCAGAAGAGGGCATTGGACCCCCTGAAACTGGAGTTAAGGACAGCTGTTAGCTGTCATGTGAGTGCTGAGAACCAAACCAAGCTCCTCTGGAAGAGGATCCGGTGCTCTTAACTGCTGAGCCTCCTCTGCCACTTTAACAGAATGACTTTTGAAAAGTTCCATGACCTCTTTGAACTTCTGTTACTTCATCTGGGATAAAATAGTCTCCTAACAGGACTTATAACCTGAGGCTGAGGCTTGAACAGTGAGTGCATTCACAGTGCTTACTCCAGAGCTTGGTACATAACAGATAGTGAGTGTTCCTGAAGCTACTGCGCTTTTTCTTTGGTGGTCCTGGGAATAAAACTCAGAACCACATGCACGCTAGGGGAGTGTTCTACCACTGAGCATTGTCCTGGCCCCTCCCTGGTATGCTCTGAGTTTTAGAAACTACAGTGTAATGTAAGGATGTGGATGACCATGCATCTTGGCTTTGTCCCTAAGTGATAAATGACAAATTTTAACAGCACCTAAAACCACTGAACTGTCTCTCCAGCTCCTTCTTGCTTTCTTGCAGCAGCTGTATTTGGTCTGCTGGCTGACCTGATAGATCCTGCCACCTATTTTGAGAGCCCCAGTATAGTAGCTTTTGGGGGGATAGCAGCAGTACTAAAAATTTTAATTGTAACATTTATACTACACAAAAATAAAAACAAAATATGAGGGATGCATTTAGGAGTACTGTATTTAATATCCAGTTTACCAGAGACTAAAACCCAGTAGACAAGAACAGTGGTGCCCAGCTTTGTATAGTACTTGGTTAGCAAGGAATGGGGACATCACAAAGGTTAAGTCTGGTTCATTTCAACATATTTCAAACTTTAAATTAAGAAAAGTTAAATTGGGCCTGGGACTCAGTGGTTAAACTGCTTGGTACGTGAGCGTGAGGACTGGAGTTCAGATCCCTAGAACCCATGTAAACACTAAATGCCAGGTATGTGTGGGCTGACCAGCCTGTACAGCTGTGGAACGTAGAGACAGGCGATCCCCAGAGCAAGGTGGCTTGTGAAACTAACTTTATCAGCGAGAGATCTGAGCTATTGAGAGACCCTGCGTCTTTGAATAAGGTGGAAGCAACTGAGGATGATTCCTGACATCAACCTTGGGCCTTGATGTGCATGTACACATAGACACACACATGTAAACATGCATACCACATACACAAAAAAATGGGGAAAAAAGGGAAGAAAATTATTTAGCTCTTCTGGGGAAAATATAGAGAGTTGAAAGTGCTTATCAGAAGGAAAATCCAAGAAATAGGTGACTATCTGAAAGTGACTCTAATTTTTTTGTTCTCAGAGGAACGGGCCAGAATCTATTCCTCAGACAGTGATGAAGGCTCCGAAGAAGACAAGGCTCAAAGATTACTCAAAGCAAAGAAACTCAACAGTGATGAGGTAAGTCAATCACATGTACTCAATTCTAGGGTTGCCTTATACTTAGGAGTTGGTTCCTGGAAAGAAGAAGCACTCCAAGACCTTGCAGACACAAGTGCTCGTAACCAGAGCCATCTTTCTACCCCTGTGTTTGTTGTTTTTAACAATGTCCTTTCAAATTATGGGAGTATAAGTATTGAGAAATTCACTTATTTATATTTATTATTATTATTATTTTATTTTGGTTTTTTGAGACAGAATCTCCCTGTATCCCCAACTGGCCTGAAACTCTATGCAGATCAAGCTGGCCACGAGCTCGGAGATCTGTCTGCCTCCACCTGCTGAGTGCTGGGATTAAAAGTGTGTGCCACTACACCTGGCTGTTTTTATTTTTTTGAGACAAAGGTCTCACTTTGTAGCCCAGGCTGACTTTGAACTCGCAGCAATCTTTCTACCTTAGCCTCTCAAGTGCTAGGATTATAGGTACAGGCCACCTCACTCAGTGTACAGGGAAATTAAACCAGTGAAATACTGTATATTATGATCTCCATATAATACTGCCTCGCATTTCTCTGTTCTGTTTGGTTCTTTCTGTGTGTGTGTGTGTATATGTGTGTGTGTGTGTGTGTGTGTGTGTGTGTGTGTGTGTGTGTGTGTGTGTGCATGTTTTATTCTGTCTTCTGTTCTGCTGATGCTCTTTCATTGATCTTTTCTCTTTGGTGAGACAGGTTCTCACTTCGTAGGCTGGCCTGTGCCCGTGACCCTCTGCGTCAGCCTCCTGAGTGCCAGGATTACTGATGTGTGCCACCATTCCTGGCTTCCACTTTCCTGCTCCTTTGCTAGTTGGAATCCACTGTTGAGTCCCTCTAGTTGTATTTCCTTTCAGTTACACTTTTCAGCTCAAGGCTTCCTATTTGAAGCGGGCGTTCCCTGCAGTGGGACATAAATTTGTCATCTGATCCAGCAACATTTTTACGGGGATATGTGAGGCCCGTCATTAAGGTTTGCTCTGTATACAAAAGGGCTTAAGGCTGTCTTTTCCCTGGTCCCCTGGTGAAATAGATGGTGTGTAGTTTGCTTTTTGTTCCTAATTAAATGGAACTGTTTTTTTTTGTTTTTTGTTTTTTTTTTTCCAGGAGCACCCTTAGGTTTGCTCAGCTTATCTCACAGAACACACTTTTGTGTTTTTTTTTTTTTAAAAAAAAGGTCTTTTTGAGACAGGATCTCTCTGTAGCCTCAACTTGCCTGGAACTTACCATGTAGACCAGGCTGGCCTCAAACTTACAAAGATCTGCCTGCCTTTGCCTCCCAAGTGCTGGGATTAAAGCCTTGCGCCACCATGCCTGGCTCAGCTTACCTTTCTGGGTCTGGAATCTTTGCCCTACTCAGGTGAGCTGGACCCCACTAGCCTAGGCTTGCTGTATCAGGAGGGAACCTCCATTTTAAGGACAAGGTCTAGGTAGAAAATGGAGTTCCCAGCTTCTTAAGGCTTCCTCCACTGGAAGTATAGTCATTCATTTTGGAGTTGGAAGGTTTTGGAAATACTGGCAACTTGTCCCTCCCAGTGAGATATCTTGATTGGAGTTGAGGGGATGGGGAGCCTCATTTTGGCTATACCTATGCAAAGTGGAAGTTCAGACAAGCAGGGGGGCTCAGAGGAGGGAGTGGGTGTCCAGACTCAGTGCTGCAGATTCTCACCACTCTTAATGAATTGTGTAGACTTTCTTGAATGATTCCTTTTTAACTTGGTATAATTTCCAGAGACTTTAAAAATCATCAAAAAGAAATGTGGTTTTTTTGCCCCATTTTTGTGTGCTTCCCCGTAGGTAGGCTACATCTGTATCGTTTTCTTAATGGCTCCTTTCTAGGTTTTGAAGAAGTTTGTGGTAGTCTTGGATGTTATGATGTCTTTGAGTTCTTTTCAGTTATTCTGACTGGGCTTTCTTCCCGAGTCTATTGGTCTCTTCATCAGCTCTGCAGATGCCTTCTGTCTGCACTCAATATCCCCCAGAACTCCACGCTGACTTTCATAGTTTCTGTGTCTCTGCGTTCTTGAGTTTTCTTCTCCAGCTCCTTCTAGTTCACTGCTCCTTTCTCTTGCTGTGTGTATGTTCTAGTTTGTTTCTCCATTGCTGTGACAAAATACTCTGACCATCACCAACTTGGGGAGAAAAGGGCTTATTTGTTTTATATCTCTCAGGTCATAGTTCAGCAGGGAGCCCAAGGTAGGAACTCAGGGCAAGAACCTGGAGGTAGGAGCTGGGGCACAGGCCGTGGAGGATGCTGCTTAGTGGCTTGCTCCCCTGGCCCCTGCTCAGACTGCTTTCTTAGGCAATACAGGCCCAGCTGCCCAGGGGTGGTACCACCTACAGTGGGCTGGGCCCTCCCACATCACTCAACAATCAAGAAGATGTCCCACAGACATGGCCAGTCCTATGGAGGCAATTCCCCAGTTGAGGCTCCTTCAACCCAGGTGTGTCAAGTTGACACTAAAGCTATCCAGCACAGTGTACTTTATTAAATCTTCTTATGGAGTATTTTGCTTTGTCTTTCCTCTCTAGAGGTTTCTTTTATAGATTGGTTATTTTTAAAATTATTTATTTTTATTTTATGTATATGAGTGTTTTGCATGTATGTAAGTGCAGCCTTGTATGCAGTGCCTGTGGAGGCCAGAAGAGAGCATTGGATCCCCTGGAACTGGAGTTACAGACGGTTGTTAATCACCGTGTGGGTGCTGGGAACCAAACCTAGGTGAGGAGCAGCCCGTGCTCTTAACGGTTGAGCCATCTCTCCCGCCCCTAGATTGACCCATTTTTTGTGTTTTTGAGACAGTCTCCCTGTAGCCCCAGCTAATCTAGAACTCGCTATATAGACCAGGCTGGCCTCAAACTCACAGAGATCTGCCTGCCTCTGCCTTCCAAGTGCTGGGATTAAAGGTGTGCACTATCATGCCTGGCATAGATTGGCCATTTTTAAAACTCATGGTTCTTACTCAAATTTTCAATTTCTTTTATGTGTTTAAACATTTTTTAAACTTTCATGTGTTATTTCTTGTCTAACAATTCCAATGTCTGAAATCTTTACTGTCTGGTTTTTCTGCCCGTGTTGGTTATTTGGTTTGCTATAGCTAAGTTCTGTGAACTGGATAGCTTATAAATAACAGAAGTTTCTCACAGTTCCAGATACTGGCAAGGCCAGGTTTATGGAGCCAGGAGATTCAGGACTGTTGACTTGGTTCCTGGCTCATGGAGGGCACCTTGCTGTGTGAGGCAGGGCTCTGGCCCCACTGCTGTGAAGCTGCTCAATCTATGCACAAGACTCTGCCTTCGTGACCCACTTTCCTTGCCAAGGCCCTCCTCCTGTCCTTGGGGTTAGCACATACAAATTTTGGGACACAAATATTCAGACCATGGCATCCTATGGTTTCTGCTGGCTGAATCCCATGGTACCTTATTTCTTTGTAAATTCTGTGATTGGGTGATTGATTTAGTGAGCTAATAATCCATGGGAGTTTCTTAAAAGATTTTATTATTTTAATATGTATGAGGAGTTTGCCTGCATGTATGTAAGTGTGCCATGTGTGTAGTGCCTATAGAGGCTAGAAGAGGGCATTGGAGCCCTTGGAACTGGATTTTGCAGACAGATGTGAGCCACCTGATATGTGGGTGCTGGAAACCAAACCCAAGTCTTCTGCAAGAGCAGCAAGTCCTCTTAACCATTGAATCATCTCTCCAGGCCCCAAATTTAGCTCTAAAAGGCTTGTTGGGCCAAGATGGTTCAGCAGGTAAATGTACCTGCTGCTAAGCTAGACAACCTTAGTTTGATCCCTGGAACCCACATAATGGAAAGGAAGAACTTGCTCCTGCAGATTGTCCTCTGACCTCCACACACAGGCTGTGGCACCCACATACACAATAAATAAACTGACAATTAACTGTTTGCTGACTCCTGTCTGGGCTAGGCTTGTATCCTGCTAAAGGATTTTATTTTGGCCTTCATCTCCTGCCCTGCCTACCTTGCAAGGCAAGGTAGTGACCATGCAGCTCAGTGTCCGAGGAGCAGCCTGCTTCAGTGTACTGCTTTGCTCTGCGTTCTTGCTTTGACTTATTTTTGGCCATAAACAATTCTTTGTTTTATTTTATTCATCATTATTGGTTATTTTCAGTGAGAGGGTTTTCTAAGTACTGGTCTGCCATATTGCAGGAATGAGTGTTGTTTAATCATTTTGGGCTTTTATGAACCCTTTTCTCATGTGAACCAAAATTCTGTTCTTAGGTTATTGTTAATTACAATATTTAATCTTTACTAACTATTCTTGGGAATAGTTTGCTATAGACAAAATTTGTTAGCATTATTCTACAACATTTGTTTTGAATTAGATGAAGTAACATTTTATGGTGCGTTTACACTGTGGTGAACTGTTGGCAGACTGGAGCCCTTATTTAAGCAGATGCTTATTTCTTGGCAAGCAGAAACTGTGAAAATTGAGAAGTGTCATGGAACTGTTTATTACTAGCAAAAGATGTAATTCATCAGATTCTCCTGCTATGCCGGCTGGGCTGGGAAACTGCAAACCTGTTACAGTTGGACTAAACGTGCCTCTTGGGATGGCCTTCCAGCTGTCTGTTACAGGAGCTTCTATCCTTTCTTCACAGTCCCCTCTCAAGCACTCTCTTAGATCTTCCTGGGGGCAAATATTTCACTTCTGCTTCAGCCTCCCCTTTTGCCACTACCCCTTCTATTGCTGAGGTTCAGGTCCTGGCTGGTGATAACAATGAAGAGAGGAAAGGACCCTTCATGCTCTGGGGCCTCTGTTTTGCACACCAGATTCCACCCCCACCCCCAAATGCCAGGCAACCTGGATATGCCTCTAAGATTCGGGGGAGCTTTCAGATGTCAGGTACTTACATCAGGGAACTGCCATTGTGCCAGAATATGCAAGTCTAGCATTGTGGCTCACACCTGCAGTGCTGAGATTCAGGAGGCCAAGGTTGAGGCTACATAGTAAGTTCCAGACCAGATGGGCTGTGCAGTGAGAGGAGTATGAACTGGTTGGTTGAATTTGGGTGCACTGGGTCCCATTCACATTCCCTGGGTCTGTTCTTCAGTTCCGTGGGGTAATGCTTGCTGCCTTGGAAAGTTACTATTGAAGTAAATACAGCTAGGAACATGGGTAAGAAGCTGACATGTAAGTATTTTCTTAGATAACTTCCTAGATTTGTTGCTATTAGAGGATTGTGCAGGGTGATTTTAAATCCCGAGTGCTGGTACCCAAGAATCTCCTAGAGCTGGAGCTACAGATGGTGGTGATGTGGTACTGGGAACCAAACCTGGTCTCTGCAAGAGCAGCAAGTACTCTTAACCACTGAGCTATTTTAAATCATTTTAATTAAATCACTTTAATTCTATGCTTGTATATATAGGCCTTTTATTTCTTCAGATATTTTCTCCAAAACCTTTATGATGTGAGTGTTTAACATATCCTAAACAAAATTATTTTAAAATTGACAGTTATCAAAATAATGAATTTTAGATAGTGAAAAGAAGTTGAATGCTGAGAAGGTAGCGATAAAGGCCGACTGATCACCCGATTGTAGTGAAAATGTTCCAACAAGAGGCAAAACTTAGCCAAGTGTGGCGGCACATACCTTTTTTCTAAAATTTATTATTTTTACTTTATGTGTATGAGTGTATTGTTTGCATGTATTGTAAGTGCACCCATGTCGTGCAGTGCCCACGGAGATCAGAAGAGGGCTTTGGGTTTCCTAGAACTGGAGTTAGAAATGGATGGTTGTTAGCTGCCATGTGGGTGCTGGGAATCAAACCCAGGTCCTCTGTAAGAGCAGTCAGTGCTCTTAATCGCTGAGCCATCTCTCCTGCCCCAGTAGGCCCTACCTTTAATCCAGCACTTAGGAGGCAGAGGAAGGTGGATCTCTGAGAGTTTGAGACCAGCCTGGTCTACATAGGGAATTCCAGGGTAGCCAGGGCTACATGGAGACCCTGTCTTTTTTTTTTTCTTTCTTTTTCTTTTTTTTTTTAAAGGGGGGGGGGGGTTGGAGAGATGGCTCAGCCCTTCTCTTTTTGCAGAAGACCCGGGTTCAAATCCCAGCACCCTCATGGCAGCTAACAACTGTCTGTAACTCCAGTTCCAGGGGATCCGACAGTCTCTTTTGTCCTCGAGGGCATTGCACCACATGGTTGCACTTATCTGCATGCAAGCAATACACGCATACATATAAAATAAAAATAATAAAATATTTTTTTAAAAAAGCAAAACCTCTTTTTAGATTTGAAAAAGATTTGAGTGTGTGTGTGTGTGTGTGTGTGTGTGTGTGTGTGTGTGTGGTACAGGTGCATATGTGCCATATCTGAGCCATCCTACCAGCCCAGGCAAAACTTCTTTGGAGGAGCTTTTGGAGGACTTTTCCTAGGGCAGACCTCATTGCTCATGTCATTGTGGCTTTCTGTGCCTATAACAGTTTCCCTTTAGAAGACAATCTTCTGGGCCTGAACTCTGCAAAGTTCTTTTTATGTACATTTGTATGTACGGATGTATGTATGTATGTATGTATGTATTTGAGACACGTTTTTACTATATAGCCCTGACTGGCCTGACATTTGCTATGTAGACCAGGCTGGTCTCTAACTCACAGAGATATCCATCTGCCTCTGCCTTTTGCTTGTGATACTAGAGATTGAATTCAGGGACTAAACTAGGGCATGCTAGGCAAGTGTTCTTTGAATAAACTTCTCCCTAGCCATGGTGAAAGTTGTTATTAAACAGTACTTTGGGGGCCTGAGGAGATGGCTCAGATGATAAAGCGCTTGCTGCACAAACATGAGTACCTGAGTCCAGACTCCCCAGAACCCATATAAAGTCCAGTTCCAGTGCAGTAGCATGCATCTGTAATCTCAGCACTCCTACAGGTGGTTGGGAGATGGAGACACTCACAGGCCAGCTAGCATGACTTATTCAACAGCAGACAAGAGACTGTCTCAGCAAGGTGGAAGGTGAAGTCCAACACCTGAAATTGTCATCGACTGCACACGAGCTGTGGTGTGTGTATAGGCACACTTGCACTCATGCATGAACACATGCACACAGATTTATTTGAAGTTACTTTGGGTTTGTAGAGGATCATTCAGCTCAGAGCTACTTTTTATGAACTTCTCTAGAAGTGTTCTCTGTTGACTTTTAGAGTTTAAAGTATTTTTTTATTGTTTAGGAAGGTGAACCTTCTGGAAAGAGGAAAGCGGAAGATGATGATAAAGCAAATAAGAAGCATAAGAAGTATGTGATCAGTGATGAGGAAGAAGAGGAGGATGACTGACGTATAGTGTGAAGGCATTTTATATATTTATTGTACAGCTTGTTTATAAATAGGATGTAAACATGAGTTATTTTGATTGAAATAAATTGATTTGCATTTGTGAAACTTTAATTGTAATAAAACATTTTAAAGCAAGTCCCTCTGTTTAAGAAATCTACTTTTTCCAAAGCAGGCTGATTTGGTAGGCATTGTACAGAGCCCAGGTTCACTGCATTCCTGCTGCCTTAGCCTCTCCCATCTTCTTCCCCACAGAGAGCCCTCCCTCCTGGCCAGGATATGGCTAAGGTGAGTCAGAGAGCGGCCCTCTTCTCCCACACAGAGTTTAAAGGAGTACAGAAAACCCCTTAGTCTGCCCTAACAAAATACCACACATTGATTGTTTTAAAACAGTAGGAACAATGCTGTCACAGTTCTGGAGACTGAAGGTCTGAGATTGAGGTATCTGCAGGGCCATATTCCCCCCAAGGACCCCGCCGCCTTCTTGAGCTCTTTGGCTTGTGGCAGTGTACTTCAGTCCCTGTTCTCATATGGCTTTCTTTCTGGTTGTTTGTTCTGGGTCTCTGCCTATCTCTAAACTGTTTTCTCTGTTGATAAGAACAACCACTACACTTAGGACCAACTAATCCAGAATGACCTCATCTTAACTAGTTACAACCTCAAAATACCTATCCCAAGTAAAGTCATATCATGTTTTTGGGGGAGGGGAGGGTTACAGAGGCTGCAATAATCACCATACATATACTATGTCATTAAAAAGAAAAGCAAAAGCTGGGCGTGGTGACACACGCCTTTAATCCCAGCACTCAGGAGGCAGAGGCAGGTGGATCTCTGTGAGTTCGAGGCCAGCCTGGTCTACATAGTGAGTTCCAGGCCAGCTGGAGCTACAGGGAAACCCTGCCTCAAAAAGACCAAAAAAAGAAATGGAAAATCTTGAATCACCACCATATCCTTTTCCTACTTAAAATTTAAGCTCCAGGTATTTCCTGGCTTACCAAAGTGGAACTCCTGTACCTGGTGTGAGAGCCCTTATACTGCTTTCATTCTTTGCACACAGTATACACATACTTTTTTTCTTTGCTGGTAGACAGTTTTAACCCTGTCTCCAAACCCATTTGTTCTTGTAAAGCTGCGTGTGTTCAGCCACCCTGCTGGGGGCGCTAAAGGGAGACTGGAAGATTGGATAGCAGAGACAGGCGCCCTCCTTCCTGTGTGCTCTGGAACCTTCTAGAGGTTTCCTGCTGCTGCAGTGTCTGAGAGGAGTCCAGCTGCAGTTCGCCTAACTCTTCCCAGAGTCACCCGCGCCAGCAGGACCGTGGCTCTTCTCAGGTGAGTTTCAGCGCCAGGGGCTTGTCAGAGACTTTTCTTTCTTGCTTGCTGTTGTTTTCTGAGGCAATCTCACTTTGTAGCCCTCACAGACAAACTTTAAATTTAATTCTCTTGCTTCAGCCTCCAGAGTGCCACAGTGCCTGGCCTCTAAGGAGCACTTTTCTAAAGTATTTTAAGG